TCATTTTCAATATATTAGAAGCTCTCCTTTCCAATTCAATCAGAAACAGTTGTTCATCTGTTAAAGAAAAAAGTCAAAACGGGATTATAGAAACAGGAGAGAGTGAGTGAGTGAGAGAGGGGAATAAATATTTTAACAAAACATATATATGTATATGCGTATGCATACGCAAAGACACACACACACACACACACACACACACACACACTCTTTACATGCTGAGTGTTTTATAAAAGGCCAAGGACTTTTCTATGGCTCTGACTACTGCCAATCCATGTTGTATTTTTTGCATGAACCACATCCATTATGCATCATCTAAAATTTCTAGTTTTTCATTTCTTTGAAGAAGAAATTTCAGGATAATTGTTGAGCAGCCCGAGTGGAGGATCCTTCTAGGGATGTTTGTTTGTTTTTTAAGTTATTTATTTATTTATTTAGAGAGTGAGCAGAGGGAGGAGCAGAGGGAGAGGGAGAGAGAGAACCCCAAGCAGACTCCATGCTGAGTGTGGAACCTGATGTGGGGCTCGATCTCATGACCCTGAGATCACAACCTGAGCCAAAATCAAGAGTTGCATGCTTAAATCACCTGAGCCACCGAGGCACCCCGGGATCCTTCTAGGTTGTTATCATATTATTCCTGTTGTTATTTCTTCTATAGCTGTCTCTCTGACATCTGAAATTAGAAAAAGGGTTTGTTGTGGTAAAATATACATAAATTTAACCTTTTAACCACTTTTTAGGTATATAATTCTGTGGCGTTAAGTACATTTACAATGTCATACAACCACTACCACTCACTATTTCCAGAAATTTCCCATCATCCCAAACAGAAACTCTGCACCCATTAAATAGCAACTCCTCGTTTTCCTTCCCTACCACCCCTAGTGACTTCTATTCTGCTTTCTATCTCTATGAATTTGCCTATTCTAGGGGCCTCATGGAAGTGAAATCATATATTATTTGTCCTTTGGTGTCTGGCTTAGTTCACTTAGCATAATGTTTTCAAGATTCATCCACATTGTAATGTGTCAGAATTTCATTCATTTTTATGGCTAAATAATAATCTGTTATGTGTATACAGTACATTTTATTTATATTGTTTGTGTATCTATTGATGAACACTTGGGTTGTTTTCACTTTTCAGCTATTGTGAGTAATGTTGCTATGAACATTGGGGTGCAAGTATCTGTTTGAGCCCTGCTTTCAGTTCTTTTGGTTATATACCTAGGAGTGGAATCACTGAATCAAATGGTAATTCTATGTTTACCTTTTTGAGGAACCACCAAACTGTTTTTTTTTTTTTAAGTGTTTTTAAAGCAATTTGTACTGAAGACTTTACAAAGCATTCAACTTGGTTTTCACAAAAGCAACAGCACTCTTAAATATCGGGCCTGCATTTTATAATTTCTAGACCATTTGATTCCCCTGGATAATTACAATATCAAGTCCAACTAGCATACACAGGTTGAGAAACATATACAGTTGATATTTGCTAAGCATACAACTCAACGGATAAGACCAGAAGTTCTCGAAACATACTAGAGAGTAGTTTTCCAGCAATGAACCCCAGCATAAACCAATATATATTACAGAACAAATGGAGAATACCGATTAATCTGGCTAGTTAAGTGGAAGCCAGTTAAGAGAGCTTCTAGTTTTAACTAAACTATCTTTGTCATGATACGATGTGTAGAGGAATTTAGAAGCGACTCTGACTCTGGAAAAAAACAGCTGCATATCCACGACTGTTCATGTTCAATACACTTGTTGGGAGACTGGAGAAAGTTGACAGCAAAGGCTAAAATGGAGTGGGAAGTTGACTGACTGTATAAACTCTTGAATTGGAGGAAGTCCTAATCGATAATAGCAGGGGGTTGATTTTCTTCCCTTCCAGTTTAATTTTGTGTGGGTGATAAATGGAAGATAAACAGGGAATAGGGAGGTTGTGCCTATTCTTAGAAAGAAGTTACCTTTCAAGTTAAGATTTCAGGCTTTGAGATATGATTAGAAGGTTTTCTAGGCAGTTCTGAGACAACACCACGAAGCTGTAGGAGGAGTACTTTTATAGAGCATCATTCATCCTAGTTAGTGACCCAAGTGATTAAAGGTTTGGGAAATTGCCCCTCTAAATGTGGGCTAAAGGAACAGGGTTTATTTAGCTTAGAGAGAGAGAGTGGGCATGCTGAGGGGGACTTAATAATAGTCTCCAAGAATATGAAGGATAGTCTTTGAGTGATGGAAAGCAGCTGTTTCCTGTTTCCACTGAGGACTTGGTAAGAAAGAATGGAGTTCAATTGCAACAAGTGAGTTTAAGAACTCCTTGGCCATAAAGTTTGAGACAGCAAACCCACAAGACCAAAGCCACCTCTCTGTTTCAGAATTGTGCAACTAACTAGCTGTCGTTCTTGGGTGGTTTAAATGGGCTTGTTCTTGAACTAGCAAAAAGACATAGAGAATCAATCAGTCAGGTGAGAATATGAAGTTGTCCACTGTTAGAACCTACTGGTGTTTTGTGGCTGAGGAAGCACTTATTAGAAGATGAGATTTAAGAAATAAAAAAGTTTCAGAATCTTTTTGCTCCCTTTTGGTCTGCTTTTAAAGCAAGATCATCTAAATTTACCCCTTCTCTCTGAGGTGAAAAATTTCCATAGATTTGCTGGTATGTGCTTTTTCTGCCCATTTGGTCAATACAGTCATTAAAAAAATTCTGTGTCTTCAGTGATATTTATATCAGAGATAGATATCATAGATATTTGATATATTATATATACATATATATAATATGTAATTAATACAACAACGAAAGCAATGTTTTGTTCTAGACATTGTGTCTAAGTGTTAGGGATAAGAAGATAAATAAGACATACACTGTGCTGATTAGGAGCAAAGCAAATATAAAAGCATTATGAAATAATGCATCAATATAGGAGGTACACTAGGGGAAAAAATTTAAAATCAGAAAAATGCATTCTGGATTTGCTACCAATTTTTAAGCAGCGAGGCAGAGGGAACTGCCTGTGAAAACTTCGCAACCATTGTTTTATAATTTTTATCCTAGGTTAGGTTAATTATACCATTTATTATGAATTGGATACATGGTGTCTTATTTGTCCAACTGGGAGTGTTTTCAAGGCAAGGTTTTATTTCCAGAGGATTGGGCTGCTGTGAAGCTGTATCTTTAAAGTTACAGGTTTATGAGCATTAACTGTGTATACATTCCACAAGTTATATTTCCATCTTGTACCAACATTTATTTTATTCTTATTTAAAAATCTTTACTTCTATCACTGAATGGTTTTTGGTTACCTGGAAGGGGGTAAGGATGAACTGTGATTCAAATCTGACCCCCATAACTCTTTGGCTTCAAAATCCAGCACTGAAATGGGGAAATTAGGGGTTTGCCTTGAATCCTCTCGCCCTATGTGTTCACCACGAGGCACTGAGTGAGTTACTGAACCTCCCCGAGACTCAAGTTTCATTAATCTACTTTACAGGAATGTTTTGAGGATGAAATGAAATGAAATAATGTGTGCCAAGCCCAGAGTCCAGTGCGCCCAGCCCTCAAGCCATGTTTACCTGCTTCCTTTAATTCACCAAGAACATCTCTCCCCTGTGGTAGAATCATGATTGCCTCTAGCTTGCCTTCACTTAGTGGGGTGTGTTGACCCTCAGGGGCAAGACCTGGAGAGTAGGTTTTGTCTAAAATTCATTGAGGGCCCCCCAAAGTTCCATTGTGAGAATCTCTTTCCTTTCTTAAACTTACTTCATCCAGAAAAAACGTCTATCCTAATGCCAAATATTTTAGGAAGCATTTGTTGCTGAATTATCTGAACGAGTCATGTATGCACATGGAAGAAAAGTCCTTTTAAAATCAGCAGGAAGATTATGCATTTTTGTTTTGCAGGGTTGAAAGAAGAGTACGTAAGGCTTCTAGATATTCAGTCATTAACCGACACTGATTAAATTGAGTGCTGTGCCTGGGAATGGCGTCAAATTGAAGAGACGTGGTCACTGCCCTGGGGAAGCGTAGGAACTTGTTGGAAAGACCAGCCCACTTGTATGAAACGAGCCCAGAATAGTTAGACTCAATGTCGGGAAGGGCAGTATAAGCCCCTGAGTACTGAGGGAAGGCAAGATACAGGTTTGGGTAGGGATTTAATAGAGCTCTAGGAGACTTGAGATCTTGGTTTGACTGGCTCATAAAACACTCTCATTTAAAGACAGACAGAATTTTTAAAAACCACCTGAAGTGTTCACTTCCTATAGAAACCCAAGAACCTACTGCAGTTGCTCTTCACATATTTGAACTAAATGAATCCTTCTAAAGTCTCAGTGTTCAGGCTGATTGGCTTTCAGAGTCTCACTCACACTATGCCAGACTGCTCCTGCCCCAATTCATTCTTTGTCTGTGGGATATGGAATATCTCTATCAATCATAACAAGTCACATGGAGACTAAAAACCCCAGCTAGAGACTTACCTCAAAAGCTGAGGCATGCCACATATTGTAATGTGGGTGGATTTAGGAACCAGGGTTGGGACATTTTTCTCTATATTAGAAGGAGATTTATAAGTCAGGACCTTTAGAGGGTGAGCATGGGTCCTCTGGACCTCTCATCCTGTCCCTCCCCACCTCCCAGCTCCCCAGATTAAAAAGCAGAACAACAAAACCGTTAACTTAATAGCATAGAATTTATGGCTGAAATCTTACAAAGCTTATGTCAGCAAAGTAAAATAATTACTGTCACTTTCTCTTAGACACTTGGCTTTATGGTTCCTGTCACCTTTATCATAACACACAGCTGACTTAGTAGCTCTGTTTTTTATGGCATGTGGCCTGGTGTTATGCTTTTATGCACACGTGCTATGGGATGACAATACATGGGTGTACCAGAGTGGAGCTAAGTTTAGATAATGAATTGGAATACTGTTAATGGTTTTGGGTTAGTCATGCTGACCTTATGCCAGCTGAGCTTGTTCCCTCTCTCTCTCCTTCTCCAGATTCTCAAATCCAAAGATTTAACGTCTCCAACCCAGCGCTACATTGACAGCAAAGTCGTCAAGACGAGAGCAGAAGGCGAATGGCTTTCCTTTGACGTGACTGACGCCGTCCATGAATGGCTCCACCATAAAGGTTACAGCTGCCCTCTGTCCTCCTCCCTAGATGCTCAGTGACCCCACGTTACTGTAAGTTGATTGCAGATTTAAGGGTATTGTCACACCTCCAAATGACCTCCTTGACTTAATGTTTTCCAGACAGAAACCTGGGATTTAAAATAAGTTTACACTGTCCCTGCTGCACCTTTGTACCATCTAATAATTACATCATTCCCAATAAAAGTGAAGAGCTAGAAGCAAGATTTGCAGGTAACTGAAACTTGGTCATACGAGATGGGGCAGGGAAGGGTCTATATTCATGATCTCATGGGGGATGAAGTCCGTTTGCATGTGAGGAGGGGATTATTGGGTGAGGCTGGGGAGTTGTAATCGTCTGGGTAAAGATAAGGTTGGAGAAAGATATATGAAGGCAGAAGGGATTGGGACCAAGCAATTGGTTCCCTGTTTACGCTGCTCCTTGCCCAGTGATGACTTGGCAGTACTAACTGACTGATTCATCAACTTTCCAAACTATTAGTCAGGTAAGCCCTTTATTCTTCATTCAAGCAAGCCAACTTTCCAGCTATGCTGATATTACAGCGGAAGATAGCATACATTCAAGGACACCCATTGATAATGCCCCAGGCGCAATGTCGGGAGACCTACAACCATATTTCACTTGGGAAGCCCCTCATACCATAGCCTCCTTACCTCACCTCCCATGTATCAGAACACTCCACCATTTCTAGCTGGTGCCCAGTATTTCCGGTGGCTGCCTGATCAGACTTTTGGAATAATTTATAAAGACATAACGAGGCTTTAGTTGTTCCCTGTTCCTGCTCACCTCTTAGTGATTAGCCAAAGGTCAAGGAGAATGAAGAGATGCCAAGGGTTGGAGTTGCTTCTCTTATTAGCTAACCAGTTCGATTGATGAGAGGTAAAGAGGGATGGCTGCCATGTGCTCGTGCCACAGCGGCTCCACACCAGCATGCCAGGGAGCTGATTTCCCCTCCCCAGCTACCACCACCCAGGACTTCCGTCCACTTGCAGAAGGCTACGGTGGGCCCTTGCTCATGGAAAAATACTCCCGGAGGTCTAGAGATTTTTTTCAGTCTCTAACCTAGCCATGATTCTCTAGAGTGTGGAGATTAAGTGCTTAAACTGGCAGTCTCTTGAGCATGCTTTGGGGAGCTCGAGTTTCTAAATCTCAGATGGAATCAGGAAAGTGTTGAGGATGCCATAAAATAAATGAAAAAGCCCTTTCTTCACAGCTTCCCCAAATGGCATTAAGTAAGGGTGACTTCTGTTTCCCTTGAACCTAATTCACTGCAATTTCGTGTAAGTCTCAGGTTGTGTTCATGAGGAAAGTCTTTTGAGTTTAGGAGTCTGAGGAAGAGAGTGAACTGGCAGGGACAAGACATGTTCTTTTGCTGTGCCTTCTGTCACTGAGGGGCTGAACACAGCCTGAACTGAGGGTTGACTAAAATAAACTACCTAGGTTGCCCTTGGACTATGGTCAGAGTCTTCTTCTGTAGTGACCTTCATAACCAACAAGGCCTGCCTTGGACACTGAACTGCCTCCTGCCAAGAGCCTCAGTGAGAAGTGTCCATTGTCACCTGTGATTGTCTCCTCGTGCCATATCTATTTCCGTGGGGAATGGCGGTAGCCAGCTGATGATGCTCTTGTGAGGTCATCACGGCTGTTTGTGACAAGATACAAAGGAAAAAAGAATGGCTGGTTATATTTGATGAAGGTAAAGCTAAATGTTTGTTACCCAAATGCATTTTTTCAAGGTATTGATGGCACCTCCACATATACCAGTGGTGATCAGAAAACTATAAAGTCCACTAGGAAAAAAAACAGTGGGAAGACCCCACATCTCCTGCTAATGTTGTTGCCCTCCTACAGACTTGAGTCACAACAGTCCAACCGGCGGAAGAAGCGTGCTTTGGATGCAGCCTATTGTTTTAGGTAAAGGAAATAAAAATAAAACAAAGTAATTACATCTGTTAACTCTTAACACTGCCTTTGTCTTTTCTTACAAATTGACCTAAATTCCACTTGTTGCTTAAGGCCAGGTGTAGTACAGGAGAGCCATCATACCTCCTAAGAGCATTCTTCCCAGAGGCTTTAAACAGTTTTTCTGTGTGGTAGTCCTCAACCCCTTGCAATGCACCAAGTGTGAAGTCAGAAAATTTTTTCCCAAATCCCTCTGAAGTGCTTTGGGGTTGAAGAAGAAAATGAGCTCCCTGCTCCCCAGAGCAATTATAAGGTTACTTGAAGCGTATGATGGCGGACCCTTAATTGGAAAGACTCACCATCTGTATGAAGCCCTCACCCCCCCGCCCCACGGTAGAGTGCCCATGGCCATGCCCTTTTTCACAGAGATGAGAGAAATAGAAGAAGAATGCTATTTATTGTGTCATTAGCTACAGAATCTGAGAGAAGTGAGGGCAACACAAATTTATTTCCCACTCCTGAAAGAGTTCATGGAGGGGAGAGTACGAGTGTTCTCCTGGGGTTTCTTATCAAGCCTCATAAGAGGAAAGTTCTTTCTTTATTTTGAGAGCTATGGGGCAGTAAGGGGTTCTCACTGATAAAGTGCTCAAAGAGCTCATGAGTAAAAGGGCTTTTTTTGCTCGCCAGAGTCAGTGGTTGCACGAAGTGAAGTTCCACGTGTCTTGATCTCTGGCTCATTCCCAGGTCTAGGGACAGGAGATGAAATAATGGATTCGTTCTCAAAGGCAAATGCCTTAGATGGTTCTTTGAAAATGGCTGTTGTATTCCATTCATTTTGTATTTGAAAGGGCAATCGAGGCTGACTGGCAAAACTGTCCAGTGTTAGTTGGAAAGGGGGGATTGGTCTCTTCAGCCACCTCTCTGCTTCTATCTAGTCATTCAAGAGAAAGGTTTGACTTTCAAGGTCACAGCCAAGGGACACGGGGTATAGAATTCATAATGGAAAGTAGCACAGCAGGTCACCATGACATTCCATCGTGAAAGTCATTTGAGATTACTATAAAACCATTCAAACCTGGCCCATGATACTTGTTCATTGGATGCTGTTTGCATGAGTGAAGGAGTCATTTTTCTGACTTGGAATGAGGCATGGGGGGTGGGTGGGAAATCAGCTGTAAAAGCTCCACCACTCTTTCTTCTAACAGAAATGTGCAGGATAATTGCTGCCTACGTCCACTTTACATTGATTTCAAGAGGGATCTTGGGTGGAAATGGATACATGAACCTAAAGGGTACAATGCCAACTTCTGTGCCGGAGCGTGCCCATATTTATGGAGTTCAGACACTCAGCATAGTAGGGTAAGTATTTGGCTCCATCTCTTCTATTTTGGGATCTCTAACGTGTACCTGCTGATAACATGTCCAGTGGATTCTAATTAGCCTGGTGCCCGTTCATCATCACACATGAATGGGTACTGGAGAAATCCTTTTGAATGGGGGGTCAAGAATGTAGGGGGTAGGTGAAATCAGAAGTAACACTGATCAGTTTGAAAAGTAGATTTTACCTTCCCAATTCAATGATAAGCAACCAGAAGACCGTTTTGTTCATTTTTTCCTTTATTTTATATTGTAAGGGATTAGTAGCTGTAAAAAATCTTTTGGAATCAAAATATCACTTGGGGTCATGTACAGCTTGGATGTGAAGGGACCCAGGTCCCCATCTAAAAAAAGGAGCCGTCATCATCTGCATCAACGACTGTCATAGAGGAAAGAACTTTGAGGACCTCAGTTGATGCTTTGGCATAGTAACTCAGTAGTGTATGGCAATTAAAAAGTCATTTGACTTCTCTAAACCTCAATACCTCAATTTTTTGTCAGTAGAAAGAATGTTTATGTTAAAAAATGATCTTTAAAATAACAATGCCAAGCTCAAGAGTAGATATAAAGAGCAAACAGATGAAATAAGAGAAAATGATTTGAAAATTAGTATATCCACATCTTTTTTAATATACCCAAAGTACACAAGAATCTAAATATTTTGTCAAATTACTTCAGTGAGGTTAGAAGGCTAATTCAGAGGGCCAGTCCTAGGTGGGAGGCCATGGGTTAGTAGCCCAGATCAGCAAAGACTTTTTCTATGTAATAATGATGCTTGTCCTAATGCTTTTTCCTGGTACCTCATAATATAGGATTTTAGAGATGGAAAGGACTCCATAAATTATCTTGTCCAAACATTTAACTTTACTTAAAGAAATTGGGGTCTAGATCATGTAGGTGACTTGCCCAGGATCAAACAGTTGGTGACAAACCAAAACTTGGAACGCAGGCTTCCTTGTTTTATAACCAAGGCCTCCGTTTGCTCTGTCTTACTGAGTCTAATTCCTGAAATGTGGCTACACATTGAGGTTATGCCTCTGTAAATCTCCTTATTAAAGAGGCATTAGAAAAATTGCCTTCACTGCAGGGTAGGAAAATGGATCTGCTGCCAAAAGGATCACATAATGCACTCGGCTCAAGTCAAGAGTTTGGGGGTTATCAATTATTTTAGACAATCTGTAGTATAAAATTCCTCTTTAATTCATATGAAAAATCACGTGTTAGTAGAACATGAAGTCTATTTATTTATAAATGCCTACATATGCTAGGCTTTAAGTTGACAAATAGGATTCTCCTTCCTTCAGCTGTTTTCCCAACTCCCCTGTAGATTTTGGCACTCCCAGCTGACCATGTGCTTGGCCATGTGAGGAAAACTTGCTCATGCCTGTCCCTTTGTCTGAGCTCTCTGGCCAGGCTGTTTCAACTGGTCTGTGGCAACAGTAGCTATAATGTGGGCAAGGCCCCAGTGCCAAGTAGAAATATAATTCCCCTCCCTGATACACAGAGGGAGTGTGTGAAGGCTGAGACCATGCTTGTTTTTCAAGGAGAGAGGAAGAATAACTGTCATGGTCACAAATATGTGGTTTGGACAGTTACCCAAGAAGCCAGAGGTAGCTTAATAAAGTAGTCAGTGTTGCTGCACTGAACAGATCTTCTGTCTTCGGCTGAAAAAATCGCAGTGAATCTCGAGGAAAAGGTCACTTGCTGTTTGACTAACACATTAATGGCATCCTTGGAAATGTCTCTTTATCATCACTGGAGAACCTACATACTTCCATTGGTAAAAGTCCCATCCCCCTTGGATATAAAACGGAGTTAAGGATATGGGACTAACTCTAAAACTTTCTCTTCATTCCACTGTGGGACTGGCTAAAGCCCTCCAACTTAGACACTACCATTTACCACATGGAATCTAATGGAGGGTTGATTATTATTACCCTCGTGGTCTTAAGCGAAATGTAAGAAAGTGAATAGTTAAAAAGAGAGCTTGCTTTTAGTGTCATTCTTTTTTTTTTTAAGATTTTTATTTATTTAATTTTGAGAGAGAGTGTGTGGTTGTGTGAGAGAGCACGAGCAGGGGGCTGGGGCAGAGGGAGAAGCAGACTCCCCAGGAGCCGATGCGGGACTCGATCCTAGGACGCTGGGATCATGACCTGAGCCGAAGGCGGACGCTTAACCCACTGAGCCACCCAGGCACCCTAGTGTCATTCTTAATTAACTCTTAACTGCTTAATGTTTTATCGTATTTATGAAACAATAAGAAATGAAAAGACTCATGTCTTTTTTCTTTTAAGTGAAAATGTAGGTGACATTAATTTGGCCCACAAAGACACAGCACAGAGAGGTTTCACATGCAGACAGGTGTTTTTTTTCTATACCTAAGGGTAGATTAAAGCTCTGATGGGAGTTGGAGAAGTGATTCTTCTACTCCTCCGTGTATTCGCTTCTTCACGGAGCACAACAGTCTCATATTGCCTTGTTCGGGCTATGAGGTCAAAACAAAGTCCATAGAGTCTCTGAGCTTAATGGAACTCTAACCTAGGTGGGAATTGGAAATAGACCCTCGGTTACAAGGAAGTGTAGACACCAGAGCAAATACTAAGAGGACCAAGTTTTTCGAGGGCCTGGCAAGCGTGTGCAGCAAGGCAGTGATCAAAGTCCAGAATTATTGGGGAAACTGTAAACTTTGTTGAATGAGCGATTTTGTGCAATCTGAGCCTTTACAAAATCATTTGTTTACGATGCAGGAGGAAAGGATTCTGTAGGAAAATGATGAATTCAGTGATTACTAGGAACACATATCAAGTTGACCATAATTGGGGGTTAAGAGAAGGAAATTGTAAACCAAAACTCGTTTAAATTGTCTCCTGAGTGCTGACGGATAAGGTAACACTATGGCTCTATGGAATGGTTCTTTTTAAAGTAATTGCCCTCCCCCCCCTTTTTCCCCCTATGTTCTCTTTCCTCTCCTATGTCCTTTCAGGTTCTCAGCCTGTATAATACCATAAACCCAGAAGCATCTGCCTCTCCTTGCTGTGTGTCCCAGGATTTGGAACCGCTAACCATTCTCTACTACATCGGCAAAACACCCAAGATTGAACAACTGTCTAATATGATTGTAAAGTCTTGCAAATGCAGCTAAGATTCTTGGAAAAGTGGCAAGATGATAACCCCGTGGTGCAGGATCAGGAGGAGAACAACGGCAAGAACAATGACGATGTTTGTAACAAGAAAACATAAGAGAGCCTTGCTTCAACAGTGTTAAAAATTTTTGAAAAAAGCGGTACTAGTTCAAACACTTTGGAAGTCTGTGTTCTGTTTGTTAAAACTGGCATCTGAAACAAAACAAAACAAAACAAATTGAAGGCTTTATTCTACATTTCACCTGCTCTGTAAGTGAGAGAGACAAGAAGCGAAACCTTTTTTTTTTTAAGAAAAAAATAAACACTGGAAGAATTTGTTAGTGTTAATTATGTGAAAGGAAAAAACAAACAAACAGGAAAATCCCATTAAGTGGAGTTGCTGTACATACCGTTCCTATCCCATGCCTCACTTGATTTTTCTGTATTGCTATGCAATAGGCACCCTTCCCATTCTTACCTTTAGAGTTAACAGTGAGTTATTTATTGTGTGTTACTATATAATGAACATTTCATTGCCCTTGGAAAATAAAACAGGTGTATAAAGTGGAGACCAAATACTTTGCCAGGAACTCATGGATGGCTTAAGGAACTTGAACTCAAACGAGCCAGAGAAAGAAGAGGTCATATTAACGGGATGAAAAACCAAGCAAGTTATTATATGACCAAGCAAGTCTGCAGTAAGATAAAGACCCCGAAAACACATGCTATGTGCCGACTGCCCAAGGAAGCTTCTTGTAAGGTTCAAAACTGAAAAGCCTGTTAATAAAGGAAACTTTCAGTCAGAATAAGTCTGTAAGATTTTTTTTTCTTTTTAATTGTAAATGGCTCTTTGTCAGTTTAGTAAACCAGTGACATGTTGAAATGTTTTGATACGTACCGGTCCAACTTCAGACCTTAAAGTATTGCCGGGTAGCTATGCTATAGGTTTTTCTTCGTTTCCGTATATGTAACCACACCTACATTCTTATAATAGATGAGGAGAGAAGCCAGTATAATTGGAAACACACCTGCAGATCTCTTTTGCAAACTATTAAATCAGAACGTTAACTACTTTACATGTAATGTGTAAATTTTTACCATATTTTTAATGTTCTGTAATAATGTCAACTATGATTATTTCGATTGGACTTAAATTGGGGCTCTTTTTAATGATCACTCAGACCTGTGTGTTTCCTTTAGCTGGCTAGGACTTTGAGGAAGGCCGCTGTAGTTTGACTTGCAGTACAAATACGTGTTTTAGAGTATTTGCTCCACGTGTGCTTTGTGCATTGTCCAATATTATGACATAAGCTACCTGAGTCCACTTGTCCTTTTGTTTTCCTTTTATAAAAAGGATCGACTCAAGTTCACTAGTCTTCCTTCATCTTCTAAGCATCATTACTAATCCATTCAGATGTTAACCATCTTCTATGTTAGGAAAATGGGACTATGATAGATGTATAGATCACTGAGCTGAAATATTGTCATTTTAGCAAGGGCCTCAGGATCTGACTGAGACTCAGAATCTTCGTGGCTGGGTGAAGACAGCTTTCTCCAACTTGGTTTCATCGGTATGTTCACAGAATTTTATGGTTTGTAGAGATCAGACAGTTCATAGGATATATCTTCTCCTTTAATCAGGTTTTTAGTGTTTCGGGGGGAAATGGAAAGATTGACATTTTAGTTGATTTTTTTTTTTAAGGGAGAAAAAAAAGCCCCGCTCAGCGTAAGTCACTTAGTTGATTTCACTAAAGTTAAGGTTTTCATAGATGTTCTTTGACGGTTGTTAGAAGTACAAGCCAAATATGCCCATGATCAAAAAATTCTGTTTTTCCCTCTGAATGAGAGTTCTCTAGATCTGAGGCTAGAATTTACCTTGCTTTAATAAATGAATGATTGGCCGTATCGTTGCAGAGAAGGTAACGTTCCGTCAAGGTTGATAGGAGATGTCAGTTTACCGGTTGTCTCTTCCTTAGCTTGAAGAGAAAAATTAATAGGCAAAACAATGGAATATTTACAGTGTCACCTAAAGGGCAGCATGGCGAGGTGTGAATCCAAGTGAAGTTATTTGATCTAGTAGACTTCTTGTCTGACATTTCCTGGCCGTTAATGAAATGACAAATTGGATTCACAGGTTTGAAAACTGGAAAAGCAAGAGAGGGGATGCCACGGTAGTAAACGACCCTCGTGTTGGGTGTGACCCGATCCCAGAAATTGAGTGTGTTGATTTTTTTCCTTCCATTTTCTATTAATTCTATGTAAATCACTTTTATTTCTGCAGGTATTTTCCTCTCAGATAGAATGACGTTTTGTTTTGTATTATTTTGTCTTTCCTCATGAATGCACTGATAATATTTTAAATGCTTTATTTTAAGATCTCTTGAATCTTTTTTTTTAGTTTGGGGGTTCTGTAAGGTCTTTGTTTCCCATAAGTAAATATTGCCGTGGGCAGGGAGGGAGGTGGGAGGGAATGGGAAGATGTTAGTGTACGGGTTGGGGGGTGGGGCGGCGGTTTTTATATGTTAAGCAGCAGTACAATTTCATGGTTGGCATGGTTTAAAAAAAATGGAATATAAGAATAGCTGTTTTGTATTTTGATGACTGATTACGCTGTATTTTAAACATGATGTATGTCTGTTTTGTGGTGCTCTAGTGGTAAATAAATTATTTCAATTGTATGTTGATGTGTTTTTCCTATCACGGGATTATCACTGAGACTAGAGAACACCTCTACTGCCCTGAGAATCATCTCGAGCTGGAAAAGTCCTACATCTTTAAGGTTGTGCTTTTATTCTCAAGGATACTCACTACAGAAATGTCATATTTTATAGCTCATGAGCCAGGACGTATCTACCAAGGACTGAAGAAAGCCCTGTGCAGTCTTTTTATTCTCTTGTTTATTGCCATTTGGTAATTGTTTGAGATTTAGTTTCCATCCAGCTTGACTGTCTACCAGAAAAAATGCAGAGAGTTGTTTGAACCATGCCTTGGCTTTCTGGTTCTATGTTCTGCCAACCCCAGGGCCAAAAGAACTGGTCTAGACAGTATCCCCTGTAGCCCCATAACTTGGATAGTTGCTGAGCCAGCCAGATATAACAAGAGCCACGTGCTCCTTGGGATTGGTGTTGGGAACAGCTACTCCTCTCCGTTTCCCCGGCCCACTGCACCGAAAAACCCTTATTCCCACAAAGTGTTTTGGCCGTTTCCTTCAAGACCAGGCTTTGCAAGTGAGTTGCCAGTCTCGTAATAAATGGAACTAATAAAAAAGTAGCTGTGGCTCGAACTGGTTGTCTTGCTTTATCTGACGAAAAAAAAAAAAACCAGTTTGTGCCCATTGTCAAAACCTCACATAGGAACAAACCATCGATGCAAGTGTTTAGGTGGAATAGAAAATGGTCCCTTTTCTATGATCATCTGTGTTTCATCTCTTCTATCCTCAACTCACAGTTAAAGGAAGTGTTTTCACTTGAACACAGTTATTTTCTGCTTCTCTGCAGAGTGGCCAGTACCAGGCCTATCACCCCAGCCCGCATCACCTTCATGTGATGAGTAAGAGATGGAGGGTAGCAGGGTAATGAAGAGAGTCACCTAACATCAACTTCAGCAAGTTTGTCAACCACCCTGAGCCTTGTTTCTTTGTGTTTTAAGTGAGGAAGAGACTACCTGCTTTACAGGGGTTTGCACGTTTGTTTCTGTGTTCCTGTGGTTAAGTGAATCTACATATGAAAAGTATTTCCCTTGGCGTTTGGCCTATAGTTGATGATCAGTAAACTGTAGTCTTAATATATTTCTCAACTTGTTCTGTTTTTGGCTTCTTGGCAATTCTATTGTAATGAGGTGTTTATATTCAGACTGTAACCTGGGCCCATACTTCCCCGTCTTGAGAGTTAATGTGTAAACCCTCCAGACTCTCTCATAAATGGATCAAGCCATCAGTTATTTCTGAGAATATTCTGTAATTCTATCTGTTAAACTTTTGGTTACATGTCTGACCAGAAGTTGTTTAAAACAGTGGGGGAGATGGTCATGTAAATCTTTGCTCATGTCTACCAACTAAAAGTAAAAGAGACAAAGTGGCTAGCTGAATGACCTACTTCCTAAGATGATGACAGAACTGTGTGGTTTGCTGAGCACCTACCGGCTCCTGTTCTCTGTTAACCTATTTAACCTCACATATTACCTTGTGATGTAGGGGTTTTGTTTTTTGTTTTTTTATATAGCTCCATTTTGCAGGGAAGTGAGCAGATGCAGAATGGTTAAATCATGTGTCCAAGATCCCTCAGTTTGTAAGGGAAGGTTCTAGAATTTCATTGTCCAGTAAGTACACTAGCTTCTAGGTGTAGGCTTTCAAGCAGTTGAAATATGTCTAATCTGAACTGAGATATAACAAAGTGTAAAATACCCATCAGATTTCAAAGACAGTACCAAAACAAGAATGTAAAATGTCTCATTAATTTTTGATCTTGATTACATGTCTGAATAATACTATTTTGGATATATGGGATTAAATAAAGTATATTATTAAAATTAATTTCACCTGTTTCTTTTACTTTTGTGATACCATTACCATAAAATTTAAAATTACATATGTGGCTTCCATTTGTTACTTTGTGTTCTGTTTTTCTAGCATTGCTTTTTGGTTCTTTCTTAGGATTTCTGTCTCTCTGCTTACATTGCCCATCTATCTGTTCTTGCATGCTGTCTACTTTATCCTTTAGAGCCCTTAGCATATTAATCAAAATTGTTTTAAATTCTCGATCTGGTCATTTCAATATCCCTGCCAGATCTGATTCTGATGCTTGCTGCATCTCTTCAAATTGTGTTTTTGCCTTTTAGTATGCCTTGTAATTTTTTTCTTGGTAGATGACATACTGGGTAAAAGGAACCGCTACAAATAGGCCTTACTAGCTTAGTGTTGAGGTGGGAGGGGAAGCACTCTAGAGTCTCCTGGTGAGGTCTCAGTCTCAGTACGCCTCTGCCTCTGGACTATGAACTTCACAAGAGCCTCTCAGTTTTTTTTCTCCATCACCATTAGGTGGCACAGGATGGCTAGAGTGGGCTGGAGTTGGTATTTCCCTTCCCTCGGTCAGTTAGGCTCTGATACTCCAGCTAGTTAGCCTTTGGTTAATGAGTGTCCACTGAGAGGGGACCATGCTAAGAACAGAGCACTTGGGTATGTTTCAAAATGGCTCCTTGCCCCCTCCCTGCTGGATGTACTACAAAATTGTTCTCCAATATTTACTCTGTGAATGTGGTAAAGCTCCTGGAGGTAAATATTAACCATATTGTGTCTCCCCGCGTGACTGGGTCCCCCCAGAGTTCTTAACTCTCAGAGTTGTTTGCACTGAGCTTTCCGCAATTCGTCAGTTATGCTTCAGGTTTTCCTAGCCCAGCAATGGTTCCTGCACTGGTTCCTGCTTGTGAGTCTCTGGTCTTGGAAGTTGTGATGGCCTGTATTTGCCTGTCTCTTTCTCCAGTTCTGGAGGCTGAAGTTTCTTCTCTTAGGGATCCAAGAAGACTTACTGATTTTTCGGTTTGTTCAGCTGACAGCGCTAGTTGTTAAGATGAAGTGGCCACTTCCCAGCTCTTTATATGCAGAACCAGAAACTGGAAGTTCTATTTCTTATTCTTATTCAACAGCTCTAGTGTAGAATTTGGAAGCAGCTCTCTTTAGAAACAAAGTCTAATCTCTTCCCCTCAGCTATCTGACCAGCTTTTGTTTTTGAAATTAACATGCGGTTGAATAATATTAGGCCAAACCCTCTGAAACTGGCTTTGTAGGTCATGATTTCTTGTATGTTGGCAGTTCCTTAGGGTTCAACCTAACAGTTGGCACTGATTGACTAATATGGTAATGACAGTGCAAATATTACACAAGCCCCACCGACAAAACTCTTGATAAAAATCAATAGTTACGTACCAGCAAAGCCACTAAGTGGGACAGTACAACCCACTTCTAGGGTCGTTGGATTATTGTATTAAATGTTTTCAGTCCATAAAAATCTTCATCGATATACCTGTGACAACTTTTTCTGCTGTGTTTAAGGGGGAAAACAAATCAAAAAAACACTCATTGTGCTCATTTGAGTTCCTGGTCTTGGGAAGACATTGCTTTTTTTATCTGTAAGTAAGTTGTGCTGAGCTTCTTTTGCTTAGAGGCCTTAGATGGGTATGTCCAGGCTTTGGGTTCCAGAAACTCACAGAAGGGAGGAGTTGTGTTTTTGTAATATATATATATATATACACACACACACACACGTATATATGTGTATATATACATGTGTATATATATATATATATATTTTTTTTTTACAGAATCAAAATTACAAATACAAAATTAGATTCAGAGCCTTAGAATGGGCCCATAAAATGGGAAAAGCCAGGACATTGTAAATTTTAAGAGCTTCACTGCAATCCTGCCTCTGAGCTTGAAGCTAACACATGCTTTTGTTTCTATCAAAGCCTGTTACCTTGTAATTCTAGCTACAACTGGATTTCATCTTTCATTGCTAATCTGCTAAAATCAGTTTTAAATCAGTTTAAATCAGTTGCTCTGTTCTCTCTCCTCCCCTTATCTCTGCAACTGCGTTTTACGTGCTGAACAGGAAAGTAAGACCCTGGTTTCACTAATATTCCAGGTCAGAGACAATAAAGGAAGTGTTATTTTTGTACCTCTTTTGAAACATCAAACTAGATCCTATGAGATTGGAGAAATTGTTAAGATACATATTTGATCATTGTCCCAGTAGATACGAGTAACTTATTGAAGTTATTACCTGAAATTATAAAAAGAATGCCTTCTTAATGGCCTTTTTTAAACGAAAGAATTGCTTTAGGTTTTTTCCTGATGGTGTCTTTATTTCCCTGAAATACTTTGAGTTGGTTTTTTTATTTCAAGCAAGTAATGGCTGTTTGGAGAAGAGATGAGTGTGTTCCTGTAATTGGGCAGAGACCTAGTGAAAGGAACAGAATGTACTGAGGGAGACTCTGTACTGTGTGATCAAAACTAGGGAAATCAGTCAGCCTGAGAGAACAGGCATAATTAAAGAACAAGGCAAGAAATTAGTGGTAAAGAAAAAGGCCCAATATAATCTCTCAGGCTTTTCCCCCAAAGTAGGATTTTTTTCTCCTATAGATGCCAACCCAACTGAAAGAACACAGATGTGTTACTCAGGTGACATCATAAAGGTCTGGCCAGCCCCAGAGATGGAAACCCTCTCCTTAGGCCCAAATCTCCATTCTGAATCATATAGAAAATTCCAAATCTCAGGATGTTGGGAGCAAACAAGCTAAGAAGTTGTGTAATCCAATACTGCTCTAAAGGCGATGTGAAGTCATGCAGTTTGGCTTGTCCTCAAATATGGGTGTAACACTAATTTCTTCATTTGAAGCAAAATTAAATTAAGCAGTACAGAAAACTGAGAACTTTAAATCAAGCGTTGGTGGTTCATTTTGCGAAGTATCAAATGTCACATCACCATGTGTGTGTACAT